AGCTGAAAGCGTCCAGGTCCCCAGGTACTGCCGAAACGTACCCCGGTACTATCTAATATTGCGGACCGTACCTCGCCTACTCCACTAACAAGTTCTAGGAGTCCGCCTACGCCTACTCCCTACCCTAACCCTAACCCTAACCATATCAAATAGTTACCAGGGTACGTTCCCGGTATACCGGACCGTACCCAGGGTACGTTCCGGCAGCACCCTGGAGGACATAGACCCTATGAGCTTTACTTACTGGTTTATGAAGCCTGCCACTAATGTAAAGAGTGTCCCAATCCAGCATGTCCTGCACAAACCGATGCCGACTGATCACGCCATACTTGATAAGCTGCAACATTCGCACAGAAATCTCTAGCGACATATTTTAACTAATGTTAAAAGACTAATAAGCAGCTGCTAGGAATGCACATGCACTAATAATTCTCTTTCTTGTGGATTCATTTTATATGTAGGCTCTATATTGTCATTTAGATATAAATTATATGATAATATATATATATAAAACCAGAAGTCACCCAAAAGATTAGTATAGTTCTAACCCTGTTTTCCCATGGTACCAATGTGTTTGAAATAAACACAGCTCCCGTGCCATCCTGAATCCGAGAAATTGATCTTGGGCCAAACACTTTCAGGAAGGAATAATGTCTTCTATTTTCCTCTAGGTTTTTTCGATGCCATTGCTCTGGGGATTTAACAATGAAGATAACATCCAACATGTTATTCTGAAAGATAAAAAAGCTGTTTTAATAGAATATAGTAATTGTGGCTTTAGCAGGGCCTTGTAAATCTTTACCTGATAAGCCATGGATATGCCAGTGACCTATGCAGCCCTTCACTTCTCAATAGCACTTCAGAATAGAATATGTAGCTATACAATAAACACAGTGCAGTAGCGCAGGCACCTAGCTCTACTACTAGGGCTGTAACGATCCACCGAAATCGAATCAGATCAAGATTCTCTTCCCTCGATCCGATCCTCGATATTATTTCCCGTATTTTCGATTCCACTTCGCATACACTTTTTTCCTTCAATAGATGGGGCACTACGCTATTATACTGTGAAGTGTTACAAGAGCATATAAAATCACTGATTATATGCTTATTGGTGTTTACTCACCAATCGTTACTCAGCCGACTGTGCAGTGTATATATACTCTTAGTCTATTCACCATTTATATTCATTGGCAATTTCTAATAATTTATTGTTGCAAAATAATAGAAAATATAAAAAGTAAGATAACATTTCAATATTTTGGATAATCGAATCGAAGGAATCGAATCGAGAGGCTAATATCGAGAACCGGATCGAATCGAGAGGCTGTGTTATCGTTACAGCCCTATCTACTACTATAGCCCTTGTTGTTCACAGGCTTGTAGATCTGTCTCCTGAGAGAGAGAGAGAGAGAGAGAGACAGAGAGAGAGAGAGAGAGAGCGCGAGGAGAGAGAGAAAGAGTATACTAAGTAGAGAAAAATAAAAGGAATCCATAGCACGAGAAATAAATACATGAGAAAATACATTGCACATGATTAATACATTTATCACGCAAACTGTCAGAGAAACTAAGTGACATTCAAAAAAGAAAATGCAAAATATAAAGGATCCTGGAGGTGTTGAGGGAGGGAGATAGGAGGACAGGAGAGGGAGGTGTGAGGAAAGGGGGAGGGACGTGGAAGGAGAGGGGAGGGAGGCGGGAGGAAGACAACCACCTGTACACCCCCCTCCTCAAGGGCACGAAGCGTCCGAGGGGAAGGGTGTTAGGCTAAAATACCCTTGCCCTGAAAATTCTAGGGTGGGCGACTGCCCCCTGTGCCACCCCCTGGATCCGCCACTGAGAAGGTAGAGCAGGTAAGATGGATCAGGCAGCTAGATGAATAGGGGAAGGTCGAGTAGAGGGAGAAGGCAGTCGAGGGGAAGGAGATCCAAACAAGGACAGCATAGAGATAGAGGAGTAAAGCAGGTAAGAAAATAGGTGCATGAGATAGACAGGATCAGGTTAAAATGGAGGTTGAGAAGGTGGAAGAGAGAGAAGGTGGGTAAGATCTGCAGAGAGAAGGTCGAGGAAGGGAAAAGTAGAGGAAAAAATAAGGTATAGGATGGGAGGTGGATGATGTGGAGGAAATGGTGGCGGTGCGACAAGAGAGAGAACGGGGTAGTAGACGGGAGCTGGTAGCTGAGATAAACGAGAGTCAGTGGTAATTAAACCGCTCACTTGCTATACATATAATGCATACGTCTGAATGATCGTGTCTTTATATATAAAAAACGGTCATTTATTATTCAAATCATAAACCGAGTCAAGTTTGAAACATCTATAATTCACACTTGCTAGCCACGTGCTAGCCACGTGCTAGCCACATGCTAGCCACATGCTAGCCACATTCGCCAATGACAAACATTCACAGAGAAAGGAAATTGTAATATGTAGCACGAGGTAAAAATAAAGAAACTGCGAAATAGCATTCCAGCACTCCCACTGGTTGGATATTGACGGTAAACGCATTCAATAGGTTCTATGATGCGCACATGCGGTGAAACCTTCCACTGGGTATCTGCTGACCCGACAGTGTACACAAGCTAGCACTTGCAAAATAAAATCATCGCATCAATATAGATCAATGCTGTTTTATTTTTATCGGCTTGTTTACAAAATAACCTTCCGAAACGGAAAATGAAACGAATTGTGATACAATGTAAAACACTGTATATCAAGCTGCTAATCTTCGCGACCGCACATTGCAATAAATTTGACCGTAATCCCAAACAAAAACTTGCCCAACATAAAAGCAGCGTTACATACAGAAATGAATCAACTACACATACATGGTACACAGATATCTTACACTGTGTATTCGCTCGTTACTGTTATCTTGTTGTTACCACGATCTAACAGTTCCAAGTTTGTCAATTAGCACCACGTTAGTAATGGAAGAACTAAAATATCTGCCACCATTTGCGTTTCAGTCAGGATTTTTACCAATTAGTACAAGGTATCAATCTAGCTGAAACAAAGCCAACAACTAGCTACAGACATGCACGCTGTGATAACTAAAGGCAATCACATGACATAGTAAAGCACAAATGGGCGGAAAAATTCCAATATAGCTCTTGCAAATTTACCATATAAAGGGTTTCAGACTAATTAGAAGCGTTAGCATAGAGCTGGGCTGAGTACAGGACATCGTGAACATGCATACAACGAACTGTTCCTCCCTACTTCCGTCACGCCCGAGGTTCAATTCATCAAGCTACTAGAGGATTGATATTCAAAAGCCTGCAATGCATCATGCACTATAATCGAGGGCATTCATGCATCATACACGTGAATACGTGATCAATTTGTTACCCTGACACTTCTATAGCAGTGCAGCATCCTATATCATGTGTGACAAAGAGCAACATCTGATACAATCTGAAGGCGACAATGCTGTCTACTCTGATCCCACGATTGTCTGTGAGCTTAGCAAAACCGAGTAATTTCATCAATCTGTAGAACCTTGGTTTGGAGATCGAATAAAAGGAAGGACTGACTCACTGACAATGCAAGTGTCCACTGATGACATCTATGAAACCTCACGTGCTTTCTTCCCAACGTTAAAAAATGATTTTACATAAATAGATGTGTTGTTTAAATATTATATACCCTTTCCTCCTTATCAATAATGAACTGTGGTGACACACCCACTACAGCACTAAACAAATTACATGGTTCGATAATAACACCTAGAAATAGTCAATTATTTCGTTATGTGACACAACCATCGAGTCTTTCAACAAGCCTGCAGAGCGCATCAACAAAGCTTGGCAAATGCACAGTAAGCTACATGGATAAATCTGCAAACAGGCTTTAATAATGACTACATACTGATTGAATCACTGACATCCTGACACGAATGTCACCAAACTATACAAGACTGATGTCCGAGAAACTATGGAAGATGAAACCAGCTTCTGGTTGTCAATAATATTCACTACATACAGAAAAGAAAGTGCTAGCGACTGTAAATCGTTGATGAGGACAGCATATTTGAGTGAGCTATATCGCACAGTCATCGAGTAAATGGCAGTAGATTGACGCACAGTACAACAAGCGTGATATGTCGTCCATGCATCCCAACAACAGCTACAGACAATATTACATTTCTACACACCGATACCTACCATCAGTAAATTATTTAGCAATGAACACTAAGTTACTACACACCTTAAAAATACTTATGTATCTGATATTCGAGTTTAAGGTAGTAATACCACTATTATGCCTTATATTTCTTGCCGTGGTAGTGCAAAGGAATTTACTGGCAAAAAAGTTTTTTGTTATCTGATCACTTACACATGATACACAACCATTAACATTTCTACAACAGTTGACAGGTGGACTTCTTTTTCTTCTTTTTCTGTTCTGGCGTTCTGCGATTTATCTGGCGCACCAAGTCAAAAAATATCTGCAAAAACAAACAAATCAAAAACTTTAATCAATCTCAATCAGAGTATCTGATAAATAAAAATAAATGACATAACCTGTTTCTACCTAAACTAGTTCTACACGGCTAGGATGAGAAACACCGAACATTCACCCACTTCATTTATGTTAACTTTGGCTTTAGCTGACGACTCAACGAATGTGTGCATGCCGTAGGTCCGTGCAAAATTCTGGCCCTGGTCCTTCCCTACGACTCTTTCATCTTCTAAATCACATTTGTTGCCAACTAGTACCATTGGCACCTAGAAATGTTAAACAATCGTGAACATTCGTTCTATCGAGTAGAACATTATACCAATCAGATTCAAATAACGCAGTTTTGCATATTTCGTGTTGTAAAAATGTTGATTCGAATTGACAAATGGATTTGTCATAACATGTGAGCATTACTAGCAGATTACTCTAAAGAACACCGATGCCTCAACTAAAACAGACGCCGACGTACCGAATCTGTGTCCTTTACGCGTAGTATCTGCTCCCGTAAGTCTACAAGGTCGTTGAATGTTGACTGTGCAGTTATGGAGTACACTAGAACGAAGCCTTGCCCATTCTTCATGTAAAGGTCCCTCATTGCTGTGAATTGTTCCTGCAGTCAAACAACGAGTTCATTAAATTTACACATAGTTCTTCTTAGAGAGACTCTGTGTTATTTCTGGCCTTCACTGTATACACCTATGGCTGTGTAGCGATCAGTTTCATAACTAGAGTTACATTACTGTGCTGTTTGATTATCGCACAAGCAAACTATAAAGGGCAGTTGTCGCCAACTACATGTATCCCCCCCCCCCGTGATCTAGTATAAATGAAATATCTCTGTAAGGACGTAGAAGGCAGGTAAAGTTAAATAAGTCACAAAGACAAAGGTTTGTTAGACAACTCATCT